CACAGAGCCCATCAGTCCCCATTGCAGGTTAGTGGGTGACTCCTATTCTGGCTTCCCCTGGACTAAGGGGTTCCCCAGGGTGCCCAAACTGGCAAAGTTCCAGGCAAACCAGGATGCATGGCCACCCTAACGTGGCACTGAGACAGCAATGACCCCTCCACCGGCTCCTGCCCACCCCACCCCCTGGGCCCCCCAATAGGACTCCATTCAGCACTCCGCTGCCCCTCTCTACAAACCGGTCTTAGTTCTTGGACTTCCTCTGCTCCAACAAACTTCCTGGGACTTCCTCCGCCAGATTACTGCTGGTGGGACCTCTGGACAAAGAAGAACATAAACCTCAAGTCCTAATCTGATCGAACATTTAATTGCAATTTCATTACCAATTCGACAGAGAAGAGCTACAGGGGAGGGGCGGCCAGCCTTTGGCAACATGGTGGGATGCAAATGCCCTTTCTTCCCATTCCCAAGGTCCCCACTGTCTGTATAGTCTGGTCACATATTTCTTGAGAGTCTGGTCCCCGGCCAAAGGCCTTGATTTCCTTCCAAGTTGCCGCTGTAATTTATAGGTTAACAACTCTTTCCTCTTGTGGGACATTGTTTGATGAGCTGTGTACAGTGCTCTGTGTTGTTTATCAGGCAAGACTAACACAGCCTGGCATGTTTACCTCGCCTGAAGAACCATGGCTGCAAGGAGACAAAGGCCTGTCTGACTCATCGCTGCTCCCACGCAGACTGCTCTCCTCCTGACCCTGTCCCTGAGCCCCCACCCACTTATCTCAGGGTTAATATACGCTGGGGATGCTGTGTCCTTCCCAGCTGACCTTCCGCTTTCATCTCTGTCATTTAAAAAATCTGCATGGACGAGTGAAAACCAAGATTTCGTCTCTGTGTCTGTTTTTGACGACACCGGCGTGGCTCTCGGGGTCTCCAGCAGTGGAGCCACGGGAAGGCCACCGACAGTGCCTTCCGCCCACGCGTGGCCTGCTCAGGACTCAGAGCGCGCGCTGCCCTGAGGCGCCTGTTCTCAGGCAGATTCGGATCCAGTCGGACTGGGATGGGGCCTGGCATTCTGCACTTTTTCCCTAGGAGGAAAAATATTTATTTAATTCCCTATTCATTATAGATATGCATGGAAAGCAGTAGCAGGCATGAGTGAAGTGATGAAACATCACGCGGTGACAAGACATAAGGTTAGTCCCTTTTGTAGGTGGACCTCTTAATTACCTCTACCTCCATCGGTTCACAGGCTCTGGGGCAGCAATGCATTGTGGGTCGAGTGCAGTGTGCAATCCCAAACTCTTCCAGCACGTGGATTTTCACAGTGACCACTAAGCTTTCTACGTGCATCCATAGGTTAGAAACAGCATGAGGGATGCTCTTTGCTTTTTTTTGGCCGAGAGGACAGAACGGCGGGAATGAGCACTCAGGCAGGCAATGGCAGGCTGCATTTCTCACCGCTCCTCGGCCACATTGATGCTGCTGGCCCAGGGGCCACGTGCTGAGCTCTGACAGAGTGGAGATGCCAGCATGGAGGGGCCGGGATGAGGTTAACAATCAAAGTCTTCCTAAGACACCCTATAAGTGTTCTCTACAACTTGAGCGCTTCCATTTCTTCACCAATGAATAGGATTAATTAAATATTGAATAAAAATTTAATCTTCACAGCAGCCCTGTTAAGTACTATTTAAACTCTTTAAGTTTCTCAACAACATTGTGTAGTTTTCAGTGAGGTCTTGCGTAGCTTCTGTGAGATTTTTCCTGTTTTTTTTTTTTTTTTTTTTAATTTTAAAATTCATTGGATATGAGCCAGTTTGTATTTATAAAGGACCCTGGCTACTCAGTGCCTGCAAAAGTCTTGCACTCATGAATTTCACTTACATTTGCAAACATATATTTTATTGATTTTTTACAGAGAGGAAGGGAGAGGGATAGAAAGTTAGAAACATTGAAGAGAGAGAAACATCGATCACCTGTTTCCTGCACACCCCCTACTGGGGATATGTCCACAACCAAGGTACATGCCCTTGACCACAATTGAACCCAGGATCCTTGAGTCTGCAGGCTGACACTCTATCCACTGAGCCAAATCAGTTTTGGCTAAAACATTTTTTTTTTTAAATTCAGCTGAGCAATGGCTTCCTGATTTGGGGCTTATCACCATCCCTGAAACACGAATGCCTTTGGGACACTGGGAATCTGTGATAGAAAAGATAAAATTTCACAGTAATTCTCCACTATTGACAATTAGTTGCCCTGAGGGGGGAAAAGATAGAAGATGGAAGAGATCACATTTGTGGGAGATGAAGCTGGGACCAGAAGGTTATGAACCCGCCAATGGACAGACACAGTGACCGTGTTACCCTGGCCCTCCCTCTCAGCTTCTCAGAAGCTTCTTAGCTATCAACATCCCTAGGTTTGTCTGCTCTCAGAACCTGGGAGCATGTTGGGATGTGAGGTGCAAACAGTTAATCAATTATGAGGACTGGACACTCCTGCCTACCTGTAGGACTTTAGCACCACTTTGCCCAACCTCAATTTCTGCCATGGAGTGGAGCTGAGAGTAATTACCGCTGGGTGAGCGAGCAAAGAAAGGCCTGCGGGGAGACCAGGCTCAGTGGCCAGTAACTGTGATGCCCATCCTCACTTCCATTTCCTATGATGCTCACTTAGCAATCAAATTAAAGAAAATAAGCGCCGAGTTCTTCCCCCGCCTCTGATGAGCATAGCATGGGAGGCACTTTTCCTGTCTGCAAAAAGATGGATGCTTTGCATTGCTTCCCTTTCCACGTGAGGATCTGAACATAAATATGAAAACCAGGTCATTACCGTATCTTACAATCCAGCTATGTGGGCAGTTCTCAAATAACCAACAGGTGTGTCTCAAAAATCTGTTATTAGGTCACTTGTCTGGTTTATTCTTTCCTGCACGAGCACATTCACAGGAGACAAACTTAAAACGGATGGATACGGTAAAATGGAATAAAAGGGGTCTTTTTTAGACATTCCACATTATTTTACATTTGTTTTAGGTGCAGAGCATATATTAGACATTTATAGAATTTATGAAGTGATGCCCTCCGCCCAACTCCCAATATGTCCAGTACCCACCTGGCACCATCCATAGAGTAAGAGGGTTTGAACTTAAAAATACGAAGCAGAGATGCATGTTTTCTATAGGCAGTAACTGCAGAAGAGGCAGCTAGTTTAAAATCTTAATTTTTGTTGGATTTTCGTTAAGAGATTGCCTTGCAGCAAACCCTTGACTCTCCTATTCCTGGGAGATTCCACGGGAGAAGGCAGGAAATGCCCCTTGATTTCAATAGCATGAGAGCCACAGACTGGGATAATCAACCCCCTAACAGGGTTTTGAATTGTAAATAAGAAGTGGCCGATGGAAGAAAGTGATAGGAGGAGGCAGAGTTCAGAGTGAGTGCCCAGTGTCCGGCCTTGGCTTAGGTCTCAGGGCCGTGCTGTTCTTTCTCGCCTCTTACCTTCAGGACTTCAGCAAGCAGGTAAACCCTGTTCTTCTCGACCCCCAGGACAAGGTGACGGCCATGTGGGGCGGGGTGGGGTCTTTGCAGTGCAGGGCCTTTGGTTTGCTGGAGCACTGGTGCTTGAACCCAAGAGCTTCGTTTTCGTCAGCTCATGGACAGCGTTGATTTTAGCTCTTCTCTCTGCTCCGAGTCTGCATCCCCCGAGAAACAGGGAACCTCAGATATTCTAACCAAGACAAGGCGTAGCCCACCTGAAGAGTTGACATTCTGGCTTATACATCTGGGTTCTGAGCACCGTCTGCAGGAGCCTCACCAGCTCCCAGTTCTGGCGAGTTCAGCATACTCCCAGTCCCTGACCCACGAGCGGCCAGTCCAATCCAGAATACCCCCTCATCCATGAGCAGCCAGTTCAATCCAGAATACCCCCCTGACCCATGAGCGGCCAGTCCAATCCAGAATACCCTTCTGATCCATAAGTGGCCAGTCCAATCCAGAATACCCTCCTGGGCCCTCCCTAACCCAATCTTCAGTCTCTCCCTCAGAGCCAACTTCTCTTTTTGATTCAATAGTGACCCATTTAAATAAAAGGGCTAACACGAAACATCAGGCAAATATGTTTTAATTTTTAAAATAACTGATGGCAAAATAAAATATTTACATCACATCATACTGTGTAAACATGTAAGGTCTCTGTACAAAGAAATATACATGCAAAATAATGTAAAAATTTAACTGAAATGGTAGAAGAAACAATACACAAATAAAAGTCGTGAGGTTACGAATACACATCCAGTTCTGAATCCAATTTATTTTAAAAAGTTTCTGTACAATTTTACAAGAAACAAACAAGACCCAGAAGAATAAATAAAATACACTGGATTCTGCAAAGCTTAGCTACGCCACTGTATGGCTCCAGACCCAGCTGTCTGGCTGGCTCGGGAAGCGGGCTGGCCTCTGTTTTAGTGTATTTCACACAAGGAAGGTAAAAAGATATCCAGAAAAATTCAAGCGTGCCCAGAACCCCAGCTGTAGGCCTTCCCACAACAGCGATAGCTCTGCCCAGCCACAGGCAGGGGGCACCAGCTCAAGGCTGCGCATCTTAATTGGCTCGTATTTCTTACCAAAAGCTCCACGTCCAGCCAATTTGTGTACAGAAAGTTGAATGTCAAAAAGTCTAAAAAGTAGTAAATGTCCAGACTGATTTTTTTTGGGGAAAAAAATAATACTTTGGCATTCTGAATAATAGCATAATACATTTTAAAACATTACCCTATTATCCAGTTTTATATTCAGAGTATGAAATCACTTTGTACAGTCCTCAAAACCGACAAGTTTCACGAAGAATTAAGTCTCCTGAATGGATGGCACAGGGCTGCGATCCCCCCAACCCCCCACCCCACCCCGACACACGCACGAAACCATAAAGCTCACCGTACGAAGTATGTGCTTTTTCTATGTATTTATTACAGGTACAACAGAGGTCTTCATAAATAGTTGCATAAAATGTTAAAGCCACAACATTGCACATGATATGAAATAAAACAAACAAACAAAAAAACCCCCAATGAGTGCATTTACAGTATTTTCATCTGACTGTATACTGCTCAACAATCTGATTGATGGCTTGGGGGTGGGGCAATGGGGTAGGGCCCAACCTGATGCCCTCAGTGGATGGGCAGAGCCTTCTGGCCCCCAGAGGAAGCCCAGGCAGGGAGTGGGAGAAAGGTGGGGGGGTGGGGTGGTGGTGGTGGTGGTGGTGGTGGTAGTGGGGTAAGGACAGACTGAAGGCAGGACCAGTCTTATATACAAGTAAGGCCTACAATTCATCAGAGCAAAAACAATTCATTCGATTTTTATGCAAAAGTTTGAGGTTGAATGCACATTTCAGAAGTCCAGTCTGGCGTCCCTGAGAGACACACACAGACCAGGCGGCTGGGGAGCTCGGAGCCGGGGGACACCAAGCTCCGCAGCAGGTGCGGGGGGGGGGGGGGAAGGCGGCCGCCGCTGAGGTGCGTCTTCCCCGGAGGCGGCTGGTGCCTCTGTTTTGTTCGTGAACACCAGTGGTTGAACATAGGCATTTCGTTTCCTTGAAGTTGTCTCTTGTAAAATGTTAAATTTGCAAAATTCTATGAGTGTTCGTTTAAAAAAAGTTTCTTTTTTTAAATTTTTTTTTTGTTTTTTTTTTTTGTTGCAGAAACCTGAATAAAAGACTGTGACACAGCAATGCTGTCTCGGCTCTCAGAGGCGAGAGAGGGTCCTCCACGCGGTGGCTACGGCAGCGGAGCAGCTATGTTGGCTTGTGTTTCTCTCCGAAATCCAAATGGACAGCTGATTGGCAGGTGAAAGAGAATGAGAAAGAGCTTCAAGACAGGTCAAACCCGAGGCAGAAGCCTGCTCTGCAGGAAGTTTTTAACGCTACGGATAGGTCGAACGTCGTTCTGGTGTTTGCGCCGCTCAATGAAAGAGGTCAGTCTGGACGTGTCGAGGACGCCCGTGCCTTTGCCGTGGCCGTGGCCGTGGCCCGCCTGCAGCCACTGCTCCTGCAGGGCCAGCGCGGCCGAGGGCCGCTGGGCGGGGTCCTCCTGCAGCAGGAAGCACACGAAGTCCTTGGCCTTCTGGCTCACTCCTTTAAAGTAGTCATCTGGGAAACTAAAGTCTAGTCGGCAAATGTTCAGGCAGGTCTCTTCCACGCTGTCGTCCAGGAAGGGGGACACGCCGCTGAGAAGGACGTAGGTGAGCACTCCCACGCTCCACGTGTCCGAGGTCAGGGAGACCGGGTTCCCCAGGATGATCTCGGGGGCTGCGAACTCGGGGTTCCCCAGTAACTGGTGGATGTAGTAGGTGGTGTTGAGTTGGACAGCATCTCCGAAGTCAGCCAGCTTAATCGTCGGCGTGGCGGAACTCTGGCCAACCAGGATGTTTTCGGGCTAGAAGACAGGAGAAGGCAACGGTCATTCTCACCGACACCCATCGCTAGCTGAGGCGTGAGGTCCACCAGAACCTGGGACGTCGACCGGAGCAAGCTGTTCACGTGCAGAACAAGGTGAACCTCGTGGCGGGCACGGAGGGAGGATCGGGCAGCACGGAAGACCCGCCCGATGTAGCTTGGACCGGCCTCCCGGGCGGTCGCTGTGAAGCAGCGTTCACTATGCTGGGGGAGGAAGCTGCGAGTTCCTTTTCCTTCCCAGCATCAGAGCAATCCTCTTCCTTCCTCACTCTGTCACTAACCAGCCCACACCAGCCAAGCAACACGGCTAGACTTTCCGAAATCCCATGAAGCGTGTAAGATCTCATGTCACCGAAAGCAAACTCTTAAACACGGAGTGGGAATCAGTGTTCCCATCTCCCACGCCCCCGTGTGTCCCCAGTCCCCCCGGGGCACCTGGCCTGAGTTCCGAGGACCGGCGGAGAGTGGCCCCCAAACGCAGGGCCGAGCCTCGGTCAGACAGGCTGCCGTGACACTCACCTTGAGGTCCAGGTGCGCGATCCTGCAGTTGTGAAGGTATCGGACGGCCTCCAGCACCTCCCCCAGGTACGCCCTGATCTTCCCTTCGGTGAGGTTTCCCCATCGCACCACGCAGTCCAGGAGACGGCCCTGGTCAGCCCTGCGGAGGCAGGAAGGGGAGTGGCTGTCAGCATGGGGCTGGTGTATTTTGGAGACCTTTCTGGTCTAATATGAAACAAACATAGCATCTCTGTCCCCACTGCTATCGGAGTTTCAGATTCTATCTCCACCCGAAAGCACAGCTGGCTCATGAGGCGATTTGGTGTGAACATCACCGTGGACATGCACATGGGGGACAGGGCAGCTGCAACCTTAGAGGGACCCGGGAGGCTCCTGCCCAGTGGTCTCCACTCAGACCCTGCCTCCCGGATGTGAGGAAACAGCTTGGCCCTCTGCTGAACGAGGGAACTAGGGAATACATCCTCCCCAAGCCTTAGTTTCGTCATCTGTAAAATGGGTGATGGGAGGCTGTACAGATGATATAAGCAGATACTAAGGCAATGTAGTCAGTACTGCAGGATGGTCTCAAAAGTCTTCCTACTGTGAATTTACTCTTAAAAATTACAAAACATATAAAAAAAAAAAAACCCACAAAAACAAATGCAACAAAGAAAATTTCTACAGTGCTGCTCACGTGCAGGGACTAGGTACCTTCTACCAATTTATTTAATCCTCCGAGAAGAGTGTTTTATTGTCCCCGATTTATGGATGAGGAAACAGAGACACAGGAAGGTAAGTAACTTCCCAAGGTCACACAGCTCATAAGCAAAGGCCGGAATTGCAATGCGGTGGTCTGGCCCCGGCCTTTCTGAACATCAGTCTATGGTGCCCTCTCTGTTTGCAGAACGGAAACTTACAGGAAGGTCAACCTACTTGTCTGGTAATGAGAGCAATCGAGGAGAATTTGCAATGAAAATAAAGCCTAGTAACCCTATGGGGAGGCCCAAATGTTTTGATTCCCAGTGAAAAGAAATGACAGCTGAATGCACTGAAATTCCTAAACCCAGAGCGGAGGCTGGTCGGTTTCTGATGAGGACCGATGGGCAGTTCCTGTGGAAAAGCCCCAGCAAGACAGGCAGCTCCGAGTCCTCAGCATCTAGAGCTAGAAAGGACCCAGCCAGGTGCTGAGGGCCCCGAGGAGCCAGGGCTCTGCGTAGACCTCATTTAGCCGTGGTGACCGTCTGCAGGAGCTGAGGTTTTAAGGGATGCCCAGGCCCCATGTCCATGGACATGCCCTTTGCACGTGATGAGAGCCTCGGGGAGGGCATGCCCCCTCCCTCCGCCATCTGACAGGTTTGCTGCCCTGGGGTGCAACTGGGCAGCCTGAGACGGGACGGTCAGCGGAGGTCTCAGCCGTGCAGCCCTGGGCAGGCCGGTGCTGCTCGGTCCTGTGGCAGCCTTGCCTTTGAAGGCTGTGGGTTGCAGGCATGTACCAATTCTTAAAATAATAATAATAATAATAAAAAAAATACACACACACACACACACACGAAACAGAAAATAACGCCCTTAAAAAGGAGGAGTCAGAACTTAAGGCTAAATGCCGAGATGTTTCATGGAACCCAGGATGCTCTAAGGGCAGGGCTTCCCGATGCCAGCACTGCCGACAGTTGGGGTGGCCTGTCACCCCAACCCTGAGTTGTGACACCAAGAAAATCTCCAGACACCACCCAGCGTCCCCCGAGGGACAAAACTGCCCCATGGAGGCCCCTGTGCTCGGGTCACGGCCCTACACGCCTCCTTTTGAAATGACTGAACCGTTTACTGAGATAGCCGTGGGGGACCAGCGGGGCTGCTCCGGTGAGAGGCCCCCCCAGGGCGTGTGTCATAAGAGGCCTGGAATCCTGGAGCCCTTTGGGGACCAGGGAGCACCCCAGGTTGGCTGAGACCACGCAGGAGCCTGGGCGGGGCTGGCTTGCTGCTTCCCATGGGACGGCACATACGAAAGTGTTCTTTCCACGTTTACTGGAAAGCTCTAAAGTGTGGTCTGAGAGCAGGCATTTTTTTTTTTTTTAGAAGTTCTGTGAATGCTGAAATCTCCATTTTTACTCCAAACAGCAATAAAGCACTTGAGGCTGAGGCGGAGGGCTACGGAGAGAGAACGGCGGGTACGCACATCTCCAGAACCAGGACGTAGCTGGTGGGGGTCTCGAAGGTGTCGAGGAGGCCGACGAGGAGCGGGTGCTGGACGTTCCGCAGGATGCCGAGCTCGTGGGTGACCTGGTCGCGCTTCATCAGCTTCTTGTTCACAAACTTGGTGGCCACTGCTTGCTTGGTTCCTTTCTGATCACATTTCTTAACGACAGAGAATCTGCCCCTGCAAAACAGGTGGAGAAAACTTTCAGACACCGAGTGAGCCCCGGAGAAAGGCGGGAAGCTCCCTCTCTGCCGACACCTTCTCCTGGTCGGGGCAGGAGTCCTGTATAGCTGGAACCCGAGGGACACACGCAGCCTTTCCCAACCTGCTCTCCACGGGAGAACCAAGCCCTATAAGAAGTGGTATGGATGACGCCTCCCGATTTCCCCCAGCACGGGGCACGGCTGTGCCACCGAGGTGCAGGGCCGGAGTCGGCCCCTGCCGCCACAGGAGGCTGATGGCAGTGGGCCGTCCTCCTCTCTTGGAACCTGAGCTGAAAACGTCTTGTTGCTTCCAGGGCTTAGTACTGAATGGTGACCACAGGCTGCTTTGCGAATGTAACACCTGTAACTCTGCACTGGCACACAGTCCGTTTACCTTCACTGGCTACTGCCACCTGAGCTACGGCCTGCCCGCCGCTCCCCCCCCCCCTCGAGAGGGGCGCGGGTCGTACCTGCCCAGCTCGGCCACTTCGCTGTAGAAGGAGTCGAAGTTGTCCTTCCAGGTCACCAGGATCCCGTCGCTCCCCGGACCTGCAAGAGGAGCGGCAGCTGCCTGAGCCGGGTCTGTGCGGCGGGCGCATCTGGGGAGGAAGCCTGCAGGCCTGGCTGCCCGGTGTGGGCGCTCACTGCCGGGAAGGGGCGCTGGGCATATACCAGGCACACTGCACGCTGGGCTCAGCATGAAGAAAGACGGACTATGCGACAGAGACAACACACACACACTTCCTCCTCCACGGCTGCCCGCTCCCCCTTTGTCTGAACTCGCCTTTAGCTGCCTTTGTTTTCACTCCTGACTCTTCTTATTTTTAAAAAAGCCACCTGCATAATTTGTGACATTTCTTAAAAATGAGAATGTTGGTGGTTCTTTACTCTCAGATTCAAGGCTTGCTTTCTTGTGCCGTGACTTCCCCAATCATGTTACTTCCTTTCTTTGACTTAAGGAGGTTAATATATTTAGCGTTAA